GAAAGGGGCTCACAACGGAAAGCTGCTCTGTGCATCCACTCCCACTGTTCACAGTTCTGTCTTCTCAGTTACATTGCTGGGATTTTTGAGTTGCAGCAACTGAGGTACTCACTCACATTTCTTTCCACCATTTTGCTGGAGTGATAACCTTGGTTGGGCTGGACTAACTAAGAACTGGAATCATCTTAAACTGCTGCAGTAGTTTGACTAACACACCCTGATGCTGAGCTTTACCATGGAATCAGCTCTATCTTAAGTGAAAGCATTTTTAACACCATTAACACCACCAAGGCACTACCAAATCAGAGTAGTAGCAATTCTTCCTATTTTATTTTAATTAATTTCATGATTTTTCAAAGGCTAACAATGCTAAGAATGAGCTTGGACTTGTCTAGGGTACCATTTGGTTCTCCTAGAGCTCTTCTCACGTACAAATGTTGATTTGAACACAGCAGCTTGGACTTGTCTTTTGTAGGACATAATGCTCATACTGAAAGGCTTGTTGATTGTGTTGGGTGGGTGAGGGAAGAGAACAAGCACTTGTGGTTTCAAAACCAAGTGTATCCCACTGAAAATGGAACCTCTTCTGAAAACATCATTGCCTTGACAATTCTGTTCCTCTTTTTTTTTCACCAGCTGTTGTGCACTGTACTTTCTTCTTTCACCTGGAACTTTGTCTACCTCTTGCTCCAGATCTTTAATGTCCTACTGCTGCCATCCTATCTGATACTCTCCATGGCTCAGCTGTTCATTTTGCTGGGTGAAAAAGCTGTGAAAATCCTGGGCTTCCTGGGACTGGAGAGCAGAGAACTACTGGCTTCAGTTTTGAGGAGGAAACTGGAGCTGAGTGAAGCTCAGAGACTATCTCAGGGTGGAAAAAAAAGCAGGTGGTCCCATGGCCTTTAGCAGCAATCCTGCTTAACATTGGTGAGAGCTACTGCAGCATGGCAGAGGGAGAGGAATTCTCTGAAAAGGAATTTACTCAAGACTAAGTCAGCACTCAGGTCTCAACAGACACTTTCAGAGCATTGACTGGCCAAACATGAAATGAATGATGGCAATCAGGTTCTTGTCCAGTGCTTGGGTGTGGGCTCTGCTCCCCTCCCACTTCACAGGGAATGAGCTCCTTTGTTGTAAAAACCAAGCACTACACCAGCACCACTGATACTCTGCTTACCTCTACTCATCTTTGATTTCAAACAAATGAGATCAAGGCAAATTCTCTCGAGTTCCTACTGGAGTTTAAATGCAGTACAGCCTAGGGATTATTATAATCATAGTCCAATTAGCACTTTTCTCATTTCCAACTTGTCAGTAGGAGACAACTTTTCAACACTTAGGTCTAACAAATCAAGCGAGTCTACCTCCAATTAATGAGAAATAATTAAACCCTTAGCAGATTCTGAGCATGTATGTCCCTCATTTCCATTCAGGCTTTACTTCTCAGCACAGTTAGCAGGCTGACATAAAGTTAGATTGCAGTCTAACAAGGCACTCACCAACAGCTTGACTTAACAAGTTGTTGGAATCAAGAGGAGGGTGATGGACTGGGATGAACTATCATTCTGTAGCCTAAGGGTTTACCCAGTCGTTGGGCTATGAACAGAATAGCTGTGTGCTCCTGGTGTTGCTGGACATACTCAACATACTGGTTTTTCTCAAAGAGGACCTGAATTAGGAGGTCACATCCCAACGAGCACACTGTCCATGTGAAAATGTTTGTCCCTGCTCCCTGTGTGCACTACCTGTCCCTCCAGAGCTTGCACGGGCAGGCAGTGCCACACCAACCCTCAGCAACGCTGAAACCTGTGCTGTTTGTGTTTGTCTTCCACTCCCCATGCCCTGAACTCTGCCTGCCCAAATATTTGTCCAGAGCTGTACTCTCTTAAATAAAACTTGTTTGCCCACGTCTTTATTTTCGCGCCTTCTTTATTTAGAAAGGAAAACACAAAAGCAAAACAAAAGCTGTTTGCCGAGGGCATCCCTCTCTCCCCGGGGTGGGGTGGGACCCTCCGTTCCTTCCCCTCGTGCCCGCGGCTCGGGGTGGGCGCTCCGGGAGGTG